TCAATTATGCAACGTCCCAAGTCATGTTTGAATATAAATAGAACTTGACTGTGCACTATTCACATTTTATGAGATGAGGAAATATAACAAACACAGACCTAATGCATAAACATACCAAATATGAACTTAACGCCCAAGACAGTAAACAATACAATTCGTATTGTTCAGTCAGTTTATCTAAGTACCATGTATCCATCTACTGTAGCTCCAATCTCATTTCCCATGACGGCAGCTTTATAAAGATGTGTGACAAAAATAGATAGTGGAACTTCGATCACAGAGAGCACAATCCACGGTCGATTAAATACCGAAATATGTACGTACCAACTTGACAAATATATTCGATATTGTGGTCAATATTGCTGCTTTGTTGTTAACTGCTGTAAGGATTCGTCCTGTTCAGACCTAATGTTTTATTTTCATTGATCATAAAAGCATGTGATCAAAATCAGTGGTGTGATAAACCTGTCGTTCATGATCCCGATCAAATATAAAAACTTCTATATTGATGAAAGACATCTGTGGAGTTCAGTTGAATTCTTGATTCTGACACACTTCAGCGGAACAATATGAAATATCAGATATCACAATCATTATGACTGCATGTCACGCACGTACAAAGATTTGATTTTACAATACATTGCTCAAATATATCGCGTGACATTTTCAATCCAGATAAATCATTTAAAAAAAACCTTTTCATTGTTTGTTTTCATTATCAAAAGGTAGAGGTTTGAGTGTGATTCATTCGTAGTCACTGAGTGATGAGATTCTGCAAAACGCACGCAATTGTCAGTCGAAAAAAGAAATTTGTTGAATTAGTAGCCTGGTTTTATACAATACAATTAGTTGAATTTCAGTATATTTCAAACACGTAATTGTACAGTTGTATTCCTAACACCCTTTTTATCCTTGGAAGAACGCTATTAATTTCCAATGTTTGTTATATTAGTTGGAAGTGAATAAGTATTGATTAATAGATATTGATGTATGATGCGGGTTACGGGTACTTACAAAAAGCTGCCATAAAGAGCTGGCACTGTTAGTCGGTGTCTGGTCAAGGCTGAAAACATTTGTATATACATTCTAAAAGCAAAAACAAATTCCAATCCAATGTACAATTGATGTTTATTGTGTACAGAAATATTATGTTTGTTTTGAGCATTAGCCATTAAGCTTCAGTACAAAATGGTTACTGAGCATTATATGAATTTGTTTGATCATTGTGATAGAATTCAATGCCCAAGTAAAACTTTGAATGTGTTTATCACAGGCGTGTTGGGGTGTCCAGAGTAAAACGTTCCATGCTCAACTATAATGATATGAATTTTTTAAATGTATCCCAAAATAAATATTAAGACACTATCAGGCGTGCAATTATATTGCTTTTACAAATTGTAACCAGCCTAAATTCTTTTCAGTTAGGTCCTCGTTTTAGATTTCTGTTGACTTAATATTTAAATTGTAATTGAGAATATGTATGTGATGGAAAGTGATTTATGCCTTGCATGTTATCAGGTGCAGTTAAACCTGCAATAGCCTCATTCCATATGCGATATGTACAATATTATGAATGTACGTATATTTATGTACATGTGAGCAACATCATCCCCTCCTAGGTACGGCGTCTGGCTCTCCTTGATTGGGGCTTTCTTGTGGCATCTGTATCTTGCAAGCCAGACATTTCTTTAATTTTAAGAAGTGTTTGAATCGGATGCTGATAAGTGATGAAAAAACGGGGGATGGTAAATGAGTGCGATGCCAGAGTCGACACTCGAATGTTTCATGGACTGCCTACTGTACTGTGTATTTGCTGTGCAATAAGTCGTCCATCATGTGTTCATCTGTTTTTTCAACATTTATCTCCATCTTTCAAGTTCCTGAAGGTGACACCAGGTCCTCATGGATGCATGTAGATGTAAACCTTAGTGGTTGAAGTTAATAGCCATTTTTGTCTATTTTCCTCAACAGCGAATCCTTCGACAATTTGACACCTGGAGGAAGGACTATGCTGCTTATTTGTGTACTGAGATTAAATTCAGCCACGGAGTATAGAATAGTATTGTACTCAATATCTTGATGTGGATTATACAGTCTTTGTAGTTAGGCTGTTTCAGCAACACGACATTTCCGCATTTGATTTATCATGACCAATATGATGCCTTATACAAATCCCCAGTTTCCTGGTTAGTTAGTGTTCATGTACACAAATTATGTGTTGTAGTCAGAGTGGTACATAGGATATTTCATGTCGAAAAGATATTTCTTCTAAATTATGGAAATGGTTTTGTCACATTGACGAAATGATATGGTTTTACTGACAACAGTGTATTATAACTCCATCTTGCACAACTCGGATTTATGTTAATAAAGTAAACATTTGTAATAATATTGTACACATATTTTTGTTTTCAAATGAAGGTTGGTTGTCGTGAAGGTGCATGTGACTAGATGCCAGTATGATCTTCAAAACGAGTTGCATTATATTTGAACGTTGCGCCGTGTAATTGGTATCATCACGAGGTCAAATAAACATATCTACGATCCACGATAATCATATGCAATCAAACTCACATGGCATAATGTGACCATCCAACCAGGAGGCGATCCAAATCAGCCACATGTTATGATATGTCCGTCCAACCAGGACGCTAACCAACTCAACCACGTGGCTTATTGTCTATCCAATCAAGACGCTACCCAAATCAGCCACTTGGCATTCATTATGTGTCCATCCAATCAGGACACTACCCAAATCAGTCTAGTAACATGATGTGTCTATCCAATCAGGACGCTACCCAAACCAGTCTCGTAACATGATGTGTCTATCCAATCAGGACGCTACCCAAATCAGTCTCGTAACATGATGTGTCCATCCAATCAGGACGCTACCCAAACCAGTCTAGTAACATGATGTGTCTATCCAATCAGGACGCTACCCAAATCAGTCTCGTAACGTGATGTGTCTATCCAATCAGGACGCTGCCCAAATCAGTCTCGTAACATGATGTGTCTATCCAATCAAGAGGCTACCCAAATCAGTCTAGTAACATGATGTGTCTATCCAATCAGGACGCTACCCAAACCAGTCTCGTAACATGATGTGTCTATCCAATCAGGACGCTAATCAAATCAGTCTCGTAACATGATGTGTCCATCCAATCAGGACGCTACCCAAACCAGTCTCGTAACATGATGTGTCTATCCAATCAGGACGCTAACCAAATCAGTCTCGTAACATGATGTGTCTATCCAATCAGGACGCTAACCAAATCAGTCTCGTGACATGATGTGTTTATCCAATCAGGACGCTAACCAAATCAGTCTAGTAACATGATGTGTCTATCCAATCAAGACGCTAACCAAATCAGTCTAGTAACATGATGTGTCTATCCAATCAGGACGCTAACCAAATCAGTCTAGTAACATGATGTGTCTATCCATTTTGGACGCTTACCAAATCAGGCACGTGACATGATGTGTTTATCTAATCAGGACGCTAACCAAATCAGTCTCGCAACATGATGTGTCTACTCAATCAGGACGCTAATCAAATCAGGCTCATAACAGAACGTGTCTATCCAGTCAGGACGCTTCCCAAATCAGTCTCGTGACATGATGTGTCTATCCAATCAGAACGGTAACCAAATCAGTCTCATGACATGATGTGTCCATCTAATAAGGACGCTAACCAAATCAGTCTCATGACATGATGTGTTTATCAAACCAGAACGCTAACCAAATCAGGCACGTAATGGAATGTGTGTACCAGCCACGACGCTTTTCAAATCATGCAAGCAACATAATATGTCTATCCAACCAGATCGCTACTCAAATCAGGCTCGTAACAGAATGTGTGTATGACTCGTACACACATTCTGTTTCAAGCCATGACGTTATTCAAATCATGCAAGCAACAGAATGTGTCTATCCATCCACGACGCTACCTAACTAAGCCTCGTAACAGAATGTGTCTGTCCAACCAGGACCTTAAACTTGAAGAGTCAGATGCATTCCGCAGTAGGATCGACGTGCCTCAATACCATGTTCTCGTAGTCACCGGAACACTGCATGTCGACTTATACGGTGTCCTTGTGCCGTCACTGTCTTTGATGTCGCCGTTACAAAATGATTTCTCAAATGAATGTGGCGATCATCAACGGGCGTTGTCACACGTGGTCGACCACTCCCTGGCCTGTCTGACGTATTGCCTGTTCGTCTTAGTCGTTGCATCAGTCTGATGACTGTTGCTCGGGTGCACTTCACTTCATTTTTATTTGTTTGAATTTGTATGGAATATGTTTCATTTTATAGTTTCTTTTGGGCACTAGTTTAATTTAAAATTCTGTCAATTATGAATAAGGACGAAATTATAACATTTCTGCATTTTAGATCCTGTAATCACTACAAAACAAAGTTTCTTTCAACTTTTACTTGATATCTGTAAATGAAAACCCTGGGGACCTTTAATGCTATGCATCCTAATGGGGTGCGCTTGACAATCATGTCTAAAATCATTCATTTTAAATATTCTTGCACACCGACTCAGGTGGAATAATTCCCAAACAACAACTCCATCCTTGCATGCTACTATCTCTCGAGCAGCTCAACAATAAATGTCAAAAAGTACTTGTAAGTATGTTTTTCAGGATAACTCTGAAAATTTGCATCCCATTGGGGTTAATTAGTTAAATCATTCATCCAATATGTTTTGGAACACGATCACTTTTTCACCTTAACAACTAAGCGTTCCCTCATTCATTCCCTTCAGTATACATTCATGCATACGTGATGTTTAAGCTTCTTTATCTGACAGTCCATTCACGTTACCATGTTTTCTTTAGAGTACATTTTAAATTACCCACATGAGATCGTAGTGAAACAGGTACAGATCCTTCAAATGCCAAACGGGAGAGATTCCGTGGGTTAATCAATACCGTTCAATCCATCAATGACAAAGAGCGCTCAAACAGTCGATAGCACAACGAGCGCAGAATGCAGTACAGCATCAGACGAGTAGCCAGCCGTAGCATCTCCTTGTCACTATGCTGTTCTTACAGGTTTGTGTGCATTTACTTTACCTATTTTGTATCAATTTATTGATGTATGCACAGCTTTCACAATTACTTACCGACAATATTGGGATTACATGGGAATTATTACATATAATCACAGTAGGTGACTTTTGTGATGACTCGCGTCTTCGAAACAATCACAAGTTCTGAATGTATGGACCCACTATCGTACAGGAAACAACCCTAACCATCCTTGTCAATTTTGGTGTAATAAGCATGTGCTTCGTTTGGCTAGTAAACGTTTTCTTTCTGAAATGTCGAACGCTCATTTTGTAATATTTCAAAAGCCATTGTAAGTTGAAAGTCATTACTTCATTAAGATTTTTAGCTTCCGTAGAATTTGTGTAAGGTGAGGAATTCGTTCAACTGGACAGAATCGGAGAATGCGCAAGCGTCTGTATAAGAGAGGTTCGCTTTTTTATCATTTTGAACCAAAGATGGTCAGTACAAGATATGTCCTCATTTAGCTCACACACGGCTGTATTTATGCGTGGGGATTGTGACAGTCGATGGTCTCGTGGTACATGCTAAACCATTATAGCAGTTTACTAGCAGATCGATGAGGCAAGTGTAGGCGTGCCAAATTTAATCAGTGTAATATTTCATATTCATATAGATATTTATACATATACACAAGACTAGTTATCTAATGTTCAGAGTGTGAAGCCCATTTCCTGTGTCCCCCGCTGCTATACTGCTGGAGTATTGCTAAAAACGGCGTTAAACTAAACTCACTCACTCACTCACTCACTCTAATGTTCAAACATGCATTAATGTGTACCTACAAATTTAAGGATCAGTAGCAGACTCATTGTTGATGATCGGTTACCCTAAAATATGCTTTTCTCCTACCGGACATTTGAAATATTTTCCTTGCAACTTTCATTTGAAGTCCTTGTCGGAACCTTAGTGTTTGTAAAATATGTTAAAGCTAATCAGAATCTACTTTAGGTATTTTCGTAAACTCATATAGTCATAAAGACTGTGGCACTGAAACGGTAGATTCTTATTAAATATGTGTTTAAAATGAACCATGATTCATACAGGTTCTCCAAATAAAAGAAAATAACATGAAAAATTACCATGGTCTTCCTACACAGATCAATAAAATAGCGTGTAAGTTATGTTAACAAACTGCTTTTTGTGAATCAGCCGTGGCACGTTAGAAGAACAGTATACACATGTCACGCAGCGATGATGTACAGAATGCTGAAGAGTGACAGATAGAGATATATAACTCATGATTATGCAATCTGTAGTGGAATAATGTATTTGAAAATACGTAGTCATAAGACGTAGTCTGTCATTAAACAAATACAAGAACAAATATATACTTCCCCTCAAAGGTTTAGACTCACTCAGTACGCTCACTATATGTTATGTATATATATATTACAGTCAATCTATGTAATCAGTCAGTTCGCGTAATGACTAAATGAATGAAGTCATTTTGTGTAATTACTGGAATTTTCAATCATTAAAAGTATTGCCTAGTGCTCACAGGCACTTCGCAAAATCACTGATTCATTTAGTCATTACACAAAATGACAGATTGACTGTAACATATATATGGTTACATCGAAGATTTATTTCTCCACAAACTTGGGGGAACCAATTGCTAACTTTTTTCAGATGAATTGCACGAGGATCATGCATCAAATTGCTGAAAAGCACGTGCAAATATCGTGCATGTGAACAGCTGCGTTTTGGTGTAGAGTTGTGTAAAGAATTCACCAATTTTCATTGATTTTTATCATTTACTGAACTCATGACAATAATATTTTCAAAGTTTCGAATTTGTTTTACTATACATCAGTTCATGTGTAAACAGTACCTTTAAACAGTATGGAATATTTTGCAAAAGTTAGATTAGAAAAGTTGCTTGAAGTAAGTGGCTATATTTACACTAGTGAGTTTAAATTTTTTATGAGAAGTATATGTTCTGACGAAAAGTATGCTGTCCAAGACCACCAATGCCTGCTCAAATTCAACCCCTAAGAAATCTGACGTGCTGCACGAAGCATCACCACTCTTCGTTTGTTAGACATTCATGATTTTGACAGTTTGAAGGACGAACGATCAAAAATAGGGATTATTCTATCTGTCAATCCTAGTCATTCTCCTTATCATACAGATGCGATTGACATGATTTCATTTCTTGCTGTGTATGAACTAGAAACGCTTTGCGTCAACGGCTATTGGTAAGCGGGCGATTGGACAAAGTGAACATGTAGAGGCCAATGCATGCAATTTGTTGCATGATGTGATTTAAGTTAGAAATAGGTACAAACAAACCCAAATTGTTGACAATCGACCACAATAACTGCTTCAGAGGTTAGCCAGAAGAGTAGAACTTCGATTGAACCGGCACCATGCTGACAGAAGTCGAACTCAAACGATGAATTGATGCACGTATCAGCAGGTTATTGGCCATGGGGTACGAATAACAGGTCAAGTCGTCGCTTGTGACGTGCCACTTCGCACTTACTTAACGGCCGTGACAGTATCTTACAACGTATGAATGGGTCTCAAACTAGTGTCAACTTCAGAGATCCGGCACTTCTGTCATCTAGCAGACATAGCCCAATATGCCTATAAGAACATGAAGCAACAATATCATCAAAGTACTTGCAAACAGGTTGTGCACTAGTGAGAAGAGGACCTCTTCGCGTGATAATAATAATCTTAATAATCACGCAAGGAATATCAGCAATTGGCTTCATATATTGTACTTATAAGTGCCTTCTACGTGACGATCGGGCAAGCGACTGAAGAACATTACTAACATCAACACGTATTTGAATGATTGTCTGTTAAGCAAGTGTTTCCACAATAACAACGAGAACTGATGGTACTCTAATCACAAATAACAATCACGCAAAGCATTTCAACTGATTGTTTGGTCGCAAATGGACCTGTTGGTTGAGATTCTGATGAGTGTATTTATATCGATTTATCATCTACTCTTGAAAATTGAAATGGTATAAAAGTGTTAATATTTAGTAGCGCATCTAAATCGATTCTGTCTCGGTGCAGTTAAATCATTTCATTCGGACACATGCCACTTTTCTGTATATCATCTATTACCTGTGTACACAGTTAGAAATCTCTGATAAATGCATGATAAATGTGGCCTTTTAACTACAAACAATAACATTCATTACAGGAAGCCATGGGGAAAGATATAAATGCAAATAAAACCAAATGGCGACACGAATCAATAATCAGAAGTGTGGATGGTGGCATTTATGGCCCTGGAGCGTCAGTTCCCTATCAGTGAAGGGTTATGTTTTGTCAGCATGTGCATTTGTGCATCAAAACGTCCATCTCCGTTGCATGTAATTATTGAAACGAATGGAAACTTGACGAAAGTCAATACTTTTATTACCAGACATTAAACACTGTCAATATGAACTTCTCATCAATATGCATATGCAGTCTACGCTTTATTATTAATCAAAACAAACTTGCTTGGATTGATGATCAATCACTACATTTTACCGCCTAAACATTATGTGTATATAGTATTGTTTTTAGTATGTCAACCATTGGCAATAGCACAACAACTTAGTCAAGGTTTCATATTTACCTTTATGTACGTTTACCATCATGATAACACGTCAAAATTGTTTCTTACCTGGAACATGACGGTAATAGTCAAACGGTTTCCTCGTCACGTCCAGAACCGAGGTTGGTGTGCCGTTTCTTGATGTAGCTCTTCCTCATCGTGTTTGTACTGACTTACTCACTATGGGACTCATCAAATGAGAGCACAACGCACCTTAACATTATTCTGTCTGTCGCCTGCTTCCGCAGAAACAACTTGTTTGGTTGGTTGACATGATCTTCTCTTAAGTTAATTGACTGCATATTACTGCAAATATGGTTTTGGTAGCCAAACATCAATTGAAAATAACTATATTGAGGTAGTAGAATGCAACAGATATATATTGGCAATGGACCAGAATTAACGTACTGACGATACTTCATATAAATATATTTATTGTTTTGTGTTTGTTTGTCTGTTTAATGGATGCTCAATATAGTCTAAAATGAAAGAATCACACAGAACCGTTGATTCCAAGGACAATGCTGGCACCAAACCTGACACTTTTTGTAGTTTTTTAATTCTTCAAACCAATACTGAACCAATCACAAAAGACAGGATTCACGTTTTAAAGACACATTCAATTTGTATTCTTCTTTCAGGTGCTCTCTGTGTATTTCATACATGGACTCTGTTATCATGTAGGTAAGTTGGCGATTTCTGTTTGACACTCGGTTCATCCTGGAATCTGTACCTAATTTCAAATCTCTGTACAAGGGTCAAGGGTCTCATGCAGTTCTATGTACCAGAATTCTTTGACCGAAGGATGGAATCGCAGATTTACCCATGTAGTGATTCCTGATTTTGTCAGCATAACAATAGCAGGTTTCCTAAGATCATTTCTTTTAGCTATCAAGGGAAGAGACAAACTAGATTTCATACAACACAGTAGTTTAGACATTCAACATATCAAGCGCACGCTCTCTCGCTCTCTCTCTCTCTCCCTCTCCCTCACTCCCTCTGTGAGCCTGTCATATTAACGACGCTCGTTTAACTTATACTGTCCGTCATACATATTCTTATAAGACTTGGACAACTCTCAATGGAACAAAATATTACATAATAAGCCTGGAAATTGGTGGTTTAATGAACAATATCTCTCATCGGTCACCTGAGCAATCATGGAACTATAATCTGTTACATTTGTTGTTTCAGTAACAGGGTTACAGAGCAACTGGGGACAGCAGTTTGTGATTCCATTTCTGTCTAACTTTGAGAAGAAAGGGACAGTTTACATTAAAATAGAGGCAAAGGTTGCTACATCGGTATATGTTGACATCCCTTGGGAATCAAGAACAGACTCCTTCACAGTCCTGGCATATTCAGAACACATTGTGGAGCTTCAGTGGAACAACAGATACGAGGAAAATCTAGCCGTTGTCACGAAAGCTGTGTTCATTAACGCCACAGCACCAATTACAGTTTACTCGCATAGCTACGTGTCTAATTCTGGATCGGGATTTCTGGCCATTCCTGTCAATGTCTTAGGTGACTATTACATTGCAGTATCATACACAAAGGCTACCTTTAATACATCCGTCGTCGTAGCCGCAGTTGAAGATGCCACAGAGGTGGTCATCCATTACAGCACTCATGGTGGCGTGTGTGGTCCTGATGATTACACAACGGGGGACATATCAATACATATGCTAGACCGACTTGACGTCATTGGTGTCCACTGCACCGAAGACCTCACTGGAACGTCAGTCACGAGTAACAGACCAATCAGCGTTGTGTCAGGTAACGTTGGAGGAAAGGTTCCCGTCAGCGCCAAAGGAAACGATGTAATGGAGGAGATGCTAATCCCGGTAAAAGATTTCGGGTTTGAGTATGTTCTGACTAACACTGGAAGAGCAGAGAGTTCCATCAACAGAATAGTAGCGCTCGCAGACAACACAACGGTTAGTTCAAGTACAGGTGACGTGTATCATTTAAATGCGTCTGACTTTATTGACATTGACACAGCCACACACGACGAGCAGTGCATCAATTCATCTACTCCTGTAATGGTTGTAGCCTTTGGGAAAGGCGTCACTGCTAGCAGTGACAGAAAAGGGGACCCTTCTATGGCAGTGGTTCCACCAACAAGTAGTTTTTCGAACGATTATTTCATTGCTTCCGGTCTGGGACAAGGCATCCACGGATACATAGGTTCTGACTTTCTAACTGTGGTTGCATCATTAGACAATATTGGAACTTTGGAGACGATGCTGTCAGCAACCCATACTCCCCTGAATAACAGTAAATACGGCATAATACACACACAGATAACAACATGGCCTCTCCAACTGCTGACTGACAACACCACCATCTTCGGTGCTACGCTGTATTCGGTCTCATCAAGGTATCGGGGCGTCGCTTTGCCTTTAGGCATGGTCTTTGGTAAGAATAACGGAATAATATGACCTGGGGACCTATTTATTAAGCTGTTGCAGCTAAGTCTTACAACTGCCTCAAGTAATTCTGTGTGGCATTGCAATTAATAGTAAACATGATTACTAAAAACGCAGTCTATTACACTCAATATTTTCTGCTTGATATCGACGTTAAATATTTTTCCGGAGACTTGTCTCTCTTTTGCCCCTTTAATCGTTTTCACTCATGGAATATATACCATCCATCCATCCATATTTTCGGCAAGATGCCCTAAACTTGGCGCGATATTTCCTGACAAATGACAAAGGTAACTCTGTAAGTGTTTTAACTTCTATAGATAAAAAAAGGGATAGATTTGACAAAACAGTTTGTTTTGGTGTGATTTTTATGCTAGAATCAGTGATCGAGTGGTTGTTGCGGGTATAAGCTGTCGGTAGATACGTACACTTTGGCGACATTCTCAGTGCAAACAAGCTTTAATTTCCTACGACGTTTGACATTGAGACATTTACAATGGGTATAGTTTTACGCCGCACTCAGCAATATTCCAGCTACATGTATATGGCGGCGGTCTCTAAATAATCTAGTCTTGATCAGACAATCCAGTTATCAACAGCATGAACATCTACGCAATTAGGGGCACGATGTCATGTGTCAGCCAAGTCGCCGAGCCCGACCACCCGACTCCGTTAGTCGCCTCTTACGACAAGAATGAGTTACGGAATATCAATTCTAACACGGATGTTGGCGGATGGAGAGCCACTGTCTTTGGATCCAGAACAATAACTTGTAGAATACCGTATAATATCTCTATTTTTACATCAGATGTAAACGCAATACTAACAGCTCTTTAATATATTAATAGATACCCCATATATACACAATATATAATATTTTCTGACTCTCTTATTTTGCCTTCAGGCTATAAAAAATCTATCTTCCAAACATCCACTTTTAATAGAAATTATTGGATTATATAATGATATTGCTTCTGGCCAATACAACATGGTCTTTTGTTGGTTACCAAGCCACGTTGGCATTTCTGGGAACACAACAAATCTGTGACACCACTTCTTATTCCATACTCTGATTACAAAGCCGTGATTAGATCTTACATCCGTGATCTAATGCAGGAGAAGTGGGACGCCCTGGTAGGTATCAATAAATTACTTCAATAAAACTCTTGGGTTGTCAGTCCAGATTTGAAGAGGACATCATGCGACGATGTCGTATTCAAAGGTGAAGATCCTCCTTTTCGCATCCCTTGTGATGAAAGAATTACAGTCAAACATATCATGCTTGACTGTATTGATTTTTCCAGGGATCGATATTTCCCGGTTTCATCATTAAAGCATCTCTTTAGTTTAAGTCCTCATTACGTTCTCTTGCCGTTGTAAAAGAAATTGGCTTAGTTCACAATTTCTGATAATGTACTGTATGTAAACTGAATTTTCTAATTGGATATAATACCTATGATTGCTAGTGGCTGTTCCCCCTAAGGGGGTTGAAGTAGCTTAAAACAACTGTCCTCCGGAAAGGGTACGTAAGACCACATCATTCAATATAGATTTATCATTGCCAGAGGTTTAATCGTAGAATTTGTGTTATTGTAATTTATGGCTAGATCGTCTAAACTTGCTATCGGCCTGAAAGGATGGTGTAAATCCAGCTTGGGTCCATGCAATGTGTACCGTAAGTCCCCATGGTCCTCAGTATGGTGATCTACCTTCAGCTTATGGCAATATGGAGCCTGGTCTTTATATTGTAATGTCTCTGTAGTGAAAATATGTTAAATTTACACACTAGTTTTATATTCATAACTGTGAAAACCTAGTTGTTTGACTGTCCTTTGTTGATAGTTTTTAATATAATTTACATGTATTTATGGCGAATTTAAACTTGTTTTAAAATTGCCGATGTGAAATATTGCCTATGTGCATGTAAATCTTAACTCACTCATCATTCCCTCACGGATAGAGACATTTAGCCGATGTCAGAAATACGTCACACATCTGCACGGCATATCCTTGCATTTTCAGAGCAGCAGATATGCTGGAGCAGCACGTGTCTGAACAACGGCATCTGTCATGAAGTGAATGACTCTTTTGTCTGCGAATGTTTATTTGGCTTCACTGGAGATATCTGCCAACATCAACCAGGTACGTTTGAATATGTCAGTGACTGAACAACATGTCTCTGTATGGGCAATATATGTGAGTCAAAAAAGAAACTTCACATTCTTTCTTTAGGGCACTAAAAAAGAACAAGAGATGGTAAGATGGTTAAATTGTTATTATTTCATTGCTGAGATCTGTGTGATGTACTCGATACACTGACAGTGCCATAATCAGTTCCATAAGTCTACACCGCCGTTCCAAAACATGGGTATACAGAATGTCAAGTCACAAGAATAAAAATGCGAAATTTCTCAGTTCAATATCGTGTATGGTCGCCCCGCGCATTCGCTACTGCCAAACACCGTCTCCTCATCGATTGTGCGCCATTGCCCTTGCAAGGCAGCGCGAAGTTCCTGCAAATTCTGAGGTTGGCTCCCAAGACCACGAAGCCTTCTCCCAAGTGCATCCCAAACGTGCTCTATTGGATTAAGGTCAGGGGACCTTGATGGCCAGTCCAAGACGTTCATTCCAGCGTTTTGAGGGAAATTTCGTGGACCTGTAGACCGGACTGTTGACCTGGGCCATGAGCCGCCATGAAAGGAACGAGTTCAGGGGTGAGCACCTGGTCGCGGTAAGCAGCAGCTGTGAGGTTTCCACGGATGACCAGAAGTCGGGAACGGTTGTTCCTACAGAAAGCACCCCACACCATGCAACTTCCGCCCCCGAATCTGTCGACTTCCTGTACACAACATTGGGCATACCGTTCACGACGTCGTCTCCAGACTCTATGCCTGCCGTCCGCGAATCTGAGGGTAAACCTGGATTCATCGCTAAAGACGACTCCATTCCAGTCTCTCTGGGTCCATCGGAGGTGACGTTTGGCCCACAGCAGACGTTGACGTTGATGAAACGACGTCAATATTGGCCCACGATATGGACATCGAGAATGGAGATTGGCAGCCCGCAAACGATTTCGAATGGTCTGTGAGGACAGTCGACCTCTAAACATCTCAGCCCTGGTTCGTGTAGCCGGCAGAAATCTGTCACGGAGGACGATTTGACGGTCTTCTGCTCGTGACGTCACACGTGGACGACCCGACCTTGGGCGATCAGAAGTGGTGCCAGTTTGTTGTAGACGACCATTGCATCCCATTGCTCTTGCGACGTCAATAACTGATCTTCCCGCTTGCAACATGCAAACGGCACGTTCACGTTGCACATTTGACAATCGTGGCATTTCGAGTACCGTTAGAACTGTGGTTTAAATGTGTTTTTTCAATTCTTGAGGCCTATGCAAACACGTGCATATGAAGAAAAGTTCGATGCGAAGATCACCTGATCGACTGCACGTGCAAAACCTGATTTGGCACTAACGTCATTTGCACGACGAATGGATGGGTTTGAGTGGGTTTTACTAACGTTTTTCTAGAGTTGAAAGATAAGGATCGCATTTCGGATACATAGATGTATCATCAGAGAAAAATTATTCATAATTTTTCAAATTACATTTTGTGAAGTTTCTTTTTTGACTCAGTATATATCTGACGATACTTTTGTCATATGTTTATATGTGCATCATGTTACGTACAGTAATGATGTTTGTCTGTATGTGCAAGGTATTGCCGGACTAAACTACTGATATATGTCTGAATGTGCAAGGTATTACCGGACTAAACTACTGATATATGTCTGAATGTGCAAGGTATTACCGGACTAAACTACTGATATATGTCTGAATGTGCAAGGTATCACTGACAACTCTCCTGATATATGTCTGTACGTGCAAGGTATTACTAACTACACTACCGATATATGTCTGTACGTGCAACGTATTACTAGCTACACTACCGATATATGTATGTACGTGCAAGGTATTTCTAACTACACTACCGATATATGTCTGCACGTGCAAGGTTTATCTGACTTCACTACTGACACGTGTCTGTGAGTTCAAGGGAGACGAAGTAGCCTACTGGTTAAAGCGTTCACTCGTCTGGCCGAGGACCCGGGTTCGATTCCCCACATGGGTACAATGTGTGAAGCCCATTTATGGTGCCCCTTTGTGGAATATTGCTAAAAGCGGGGTAAAACTAAACTCAATGTAAGAACATGGTACTACTGACTGACCTACTGATGCATGTCTGATCGAGGAAGGTAATTGTTACAAGAGTAGTGACGTATGTCTGTTTGTTCCAAGTATTGCGGACTTCAGAACTGGACTATATTATTGAGATCGTTTAAAGCCTTGACGTATTTCATATGTTTCGAAAAAAATACATCCTCTTTCACGAAAACGCCATTGATCTATTGACAATTCGGGTTTGACAATATACTAATCTGATCCTTGTCTCGATATGTGGGCGAAATGGCAATCAATACAGAAACCGATATCCCAGCAGTTGTGCTGCATGTAGACACAGTAATCCACCACGCATCACTTCAGTTAGATGAAAGGGGCCTTCATATATGAATTGCCTGGAAACAGTTAACAGATTCATAATAGCGGAATAGCATGCCTTTGGTGATAAACGCAACACCAGCTATGGGTAATATTGGGTTAAATGAAATGGAAACGCTCTCGGGGAAATAATGTAAAGAATAATTTGGTGATTTTGTTTAATATGTTTTATACATGTTTGTGCTTCAGGAACACATGTTTTGACATTACAGAAATGCGATTAATTCGATTTCCAAACAAGACCTCCAGTAAGGAATCACACGCCCAGCGTTATTAAACAGACACTTTAATGCCAACCTACCCAAACAAGTGAGGGTGTCGGCAACAGTGGTAAACTTGTGTCGCATAGGAACTAGTTTTTTTTCTCTCTCTCTTTGTACATCGCGAAATGGCACGACATTATTAGTCTATGAAATATATACGGGGACAGGAGGCAAACCAATTTGTTATTTGTGTACACCCGTAGAACAGGAATACTAGAGAAACATACAAGCCACTTCAACAATGGAATGGGTGAGTAAGTGTAGTTTCACGCCCCTTTTAGCAATTTTCCAGCAATATCATGGTTGGGGACATCAGAAATTAGCTTCACACATTGTACCCATGTGGGGAACTGAACCCGGCCTTCGGCGTGACGAGGGACGCTTTAACCACGAGACTACCCAAACCGCCGCTCAACAATAGAGATTGAGGTGAACGAGATTATAACATAGATATACTTATCATGAAATGGAGGGTGTTATTGGTGCAAAAAAACAATCTGAAACTTGGTATCAAAATCTGATAAATATGCAAATTAGGTTAATACACGAACTACTTTCACAAAACTTCATATACATGCCCTGCCAATCCTAAAACGTATACAAACGTCATTGATGACGTCGTCGCGAGTTCACGGAAGGGTTTCCACTGCCTGGGCGAATATGGTGCGAACTTCACCTTGGTGTACCGCTAAGTATTCTTCCGCGAATGCTCGATTTTTTAATATTAATTCACGTACAATTTGCTTCTGTTTTAAAGTAATTTTATCATATATATATATTTATATATATATCATATATTAGGAATAACAAATATGAATTATGCTCGCCAAAGGCCCAACATGAAACTCGCCAAAAGGCTCGAATAATACACTTTCTATTCCCAATGTATGATATTAATGATTCGGAAACACACTCGGTTGATAATCTCAATCTTCCACTTCTCAAGCCCATAAATAGGAAATAAGCCAACGCGATGAAGTGAAAATGTTTACTAACGCCGTTGTTGTCAAATCTGACTGACATGTATGTCAAACACAAATTCACAAAGCTTAACATGGCAGCGTTAATGTCACTTCCTGTTTTGACCTGATGCTGACCTGATGTTGACCTGCGTCATCGTTCTGCCCCGCTTAGTCATTAACTGAATTCGATCCTGCGGTATTCGTTCCTATTCATTCTACAATGCTATGCGCATTTGGGAAGCGTTAACGTCGGACACGGCCCTCGATTTCCCCCAATGGTGTTCATTTGGATTAAATTGACCTTAATGGCGAGGGACGGGCAGTGATGTCCTGATTGTGATGGATATTCGTAGTGCAACAAGAAATCAGACAATGGCCTGCAGAAAACTCACCTGTCGATAAAGTGCAGAGGGTTGGAGAATTTCCTCTCGTAACGTAATGCTGTCAAACTGAATTTCAAATGGAACAGGTACTTGTATGTGTCTGCTTTCATCATAACATGGTCCACACACATCAACAGCACATTAAGCATACGTCTCTAAATGTTGGTTCGCCCATCTTGATGTTGTAGTTTGATATGAGATTACTCACTGAACCAGACTTTATGCCAGTGTCTACGATTCCATGCATGGACATTCACACACCGTTGAACATGTAATCGTCGGTGCTCGAGATGTAGAATGGTGCGGCTAAGCAGCCTTTTGAATCGCAAAGACGATAAATCTTTGAGCTGAACAGTAAACATCCTAGGGCATACCTTGAGGGGACATCTGTGGTCGTGGACGGCCCGATACCATAGACAGAAGTCCCAAGTGAACCTGCAGTTGCGATCCGTAGTCTTATAAGTAGACATTTGACGATCTACCGTTGTCACCATTGCTGAAATCGTCCTTGGTCGAAGTTAAAAGGACGGTCAAATGATTTGATTCAAGACTCGAGCCTCTGTGCGATGACATCATTTCGTATTGAGAGTTTAGGTATAGCCATGGCATATTGAAACTTACTTGCAGTTAAATCAACATCAGTACATTGTAATAAAGTAGTAAAGAGTTTACTATAGGAATACCACCTTTCTCTATTAAACATCCGTACTCTCTATTTTACTGAACACTACGTGCGAAGGGCATACAGATTATATAGCTAAGCGGCAAAAGAAACGTCAGTTTTGAATTTTCTTTCGCACAAACGCATAACTGTAAACTCATTTAATGTTTTGATTGTATATTTTTGACAACATCTCTTCACCTTAACAAAGACATTCCTTCCCAAACTCAGAATTTAACCCAGGTAATAGTCTCAAAAACGCAACCAGATCTCGGAGATGGTACGGTGTTCTCCATGTTTTTCATGCAACTCATG